AGAGCTGGGGCACCCGTGCCTTGAGCACAAACACCGTGTTAACCAAAGCCTCAGGCCAAGATTTTCACTTCTCACAAGAGTTTGCAAACATCAGCACTTTTAAAAATGTTTAAGTTGTACTGCATTCCCCAAAGCAAACACCTATAATTTGGTATTTTTGATTTTCAGAGATGCTAGTGGATAAAGGAGAGGCCCGGGCGACGACTGAAATATTCCACTTTCAGGTTTCCCGTGGACAACACATTTCTCCACATTTACTTCTCTTGGTCTCTCCAGTTCTTACTGCTGGTAAAGCATTTACCCGTCAGCGTTCCCTCCGTCTGCTCTGTGTTTTCATTTGTTCAAATAAAACATAATGGGAGTCTGCATTTAAAAATATGTTTCCTAACAAAATTATATATACTCTATACACCGGCATATATTATATGTATAATTTATATTATTTATGTAAATAATTATATGGCACATTTCATTTATATATTACATTTATAATATATAACTATATTGTACAGTATGTGTTTGGATACATATATATCATACCCACTTTCTGGCAGAGAGGAGCATGAGACATAGAGAGTAAAGGTTGATATATTTGTACCACTCGTTTCTTCTAAGGTCTGTTAAATTGCTGATTTCTTCCTGACACTTTCTATTTGTGGAAGCCTGTGGACACTGGGGCAGGAGTCGGGTTAGCGACGCTAGCTCACCTTCGAGCCTGGTTTTGACGGTGTCTCTTGCATTCTCTTCGCTTCTGGGGAGCCAATGGCAGCCAGTGGCCGGAGGCCTGGGCAAGCCACTCAGGAGACCAAGACCCCATTGGAGGGATGAGGCAAACATGCCTTCTTCCCGCCTCGCTGTCTGGAGCTACACCTTGTATCATCTAGAGAAAAGGGGAAAGGCTGGGTGGAGACCATGTGTGGCCTCCATGCTGTGGCGTCTGCCCTTGGAAAGACCAGTCACTGGAGCAACGGTGCTGGGCTGTGTGCCGCGCCCCCGGGGGGCCTCCACTGCAGTCAAGGGTTACTCGTCCCACGTCTGGGGTGCGCCGGGCACAGGGCTGTGCTCGGTGCTGGGAGCCGGGTAAGCCGAGTCAGAAAGACGGGTCCTGGGCACCAAGGGGCCGAAGGCAAACCAAGGTAACATGAAGCAATTCTACAACACATTAAGGGTTAGTGACCCGTGCTCACAAGCTACAGTTCCCCTCTCACACCTTATACACACACACGGTCTACTTCCTTTGCATTCAGTGGAAATACCTTCTTTATCTATTTAAGATCTGGCATCTTTTTTTGCAGCATTATCTTAATTTATAAAATGCTAACAAACACATTCAACCAGATGTCTGAGTTGGTAAGATTAAATTCCTATTTTAAGGGTTTTTTGTATCTCTGCTCTGTTTCCTGAAAATTCTAACAGGGAACCTAAAACTTGGCTATCAAGAACATGGCAATACAATGCAGGAAGAATTTAAAGGTACGTTCCTCCATTTATCAGTAGTAGCACATACCCTCCTTACTTCTGGAGACTTAATCCTTTGGAATCTCTCTTTTTAAGAATTAAATTAACAAGACTGACCTTCTTAGCCATGGGGTTAGGCAGAGAAGAGTCTGCTTATTTAACTTTCTATAAGCAACTAGATTAACTTTTACTTTTTGAGGCTACTGTGGAAATCGTCTCCCCCAGGAAGTTTGCTCTTTGTAACTTTATTATGTCCCTTTACTTGAAGTCTTATTTAAAGACCATCCTCTGAACTCACAGACCTAGCTAAAGGGATCTTAAGATGATCTGCACAATTTTAGGATTCAAATATTTCTAAATTAATTTACTGAGAGATGAAATTTATTGGTGGCTGGAAAACTAAATGACCTATAGCTCATTAAGCATAGTTGATATATTTGTACCATTTCTTCTTCTGAGATGATTAAGCTCTTAATCTTTCTCTTGGCATTTTCCGTTTTCCAACGCTTGGGAAAATTGGGGCAGGAATAGGTTTATTTCATTTGGTTGGTCTTAGAACCTGGTTTTCATTAATATTAAAAAAAATTCTTTTAAGTTCAGAATTTAACCAGAATTTTAAAATATTATTACTTATTTGTTCCCATCACATAATACTTTAAGGTTTTAAGTAGATTTAAGTTTTAGAGATACTCAGAAATATTTTGTAGATCAATGCAGATTTAAGCAGGAGCTGTGACTCTTCTAAGTGTAACTAAAAATAACACTGTAAAAAAGAAAACTAAGGGGGTTGCCTGGGTAGCTCATTGGGTTTAGCCTCTGCCTTTGGCTCAGGTCATGATCTCAGGATCCTGGGATCGAGCCCTGCATCGGGCTCTCTGCTCAGTGGGGAGACTGCTTCCTCCTCTCTCTCTCTCTCTCTCTGTCTGCCTCTCTGCCTGCTTGTGATCTCTCTCTGTCAAATAAATAAATAAAATTAAAAAGAAAAAAAAGAGAAAGCTATTAGTCAAATATGAGGTGAAAAATAAATCTTAAAACAGACTTATAGATGACACAGATTTTCTTTTTCAGCCTTGCCCAGCTTTGCTCCCCTTCAGCTTCATCGCTGGTCTCACATCTTTGTTTCTCTATGAGCTGAAGTAAAGGATAAATCCCGCACGAATTTATTTTTATACAGCATTTCTTGAGTAGCAGTTAAGTCTGATTTCTTAAATGTATCAGAACTGAGCAGCACACTGAAAATGGAAGATAGTGTCCGATTATGTTTATAATGTGGTATGAGAATTAACACAGGGATCAGTGTATTACCTTGAGGTCTTGAACAATGACAGTTCGTAGGACAATGTCAGCCCGAACGTCTTCATGGCCTGGACGTACCCGGGTTCTCCAGGATTTAGGAATCCTAGGTATTCTGTGGATTTCGGGTGGCTTTTAAACCTTTGTCGGTAAAGCAGTGCTGGTCGCGATCTACTAGGACTTGCAGTTTGGATATTAATAAGCCACTCACACGTAATACAAGTGGGGATCTCTAAGGAGACTCGTGAAAATGATGATAATTAACATGAAGAGCCTTCTGCATGTCCCGCGCCACACCGCAGGCCTTCCGAGCCTGCCGGATGTGTTTTATCTCAAAGGGCAGCTCATACTCAACTTCTAGCAACGCCGGATTCTGTCCAGCAGGACGCTGCGTACTTACTTTGGACACCAAGTGTCCTCGCCAGCCCTGCGGCTGCGTCATCCTGCAGGAGGAGAGAGGGTCCGGGTGAGGGCATCGTCGGGAGTCAAGCCCCGACGGTGAGGCTGACAGCACGGGCGCGCATGCCATCTGGCCAGACGGTGCTGAGCCCTGGGGACACCACGACGGTCACTACAGACACGTAACGGAACAAACAGGAAGCCCGACGTGAGTCTGTCTCGAAGCCCCGAACTCCGCGGTCCAAAGGCAGGGGTGCCAGGACACGGAGACGCCGTCTGCGCGAGTCACCACCGAAGTCACCGCTGTCTGGTCTCCAGGCCGCAGAGCACACGGCTGCGGGACTCCCTCCGCCGCGGGCCGGAGCTGAAGGGCTTCCTCCGGCAGCCGCGCTGCAGAACGCCCTGGACGGGAAGGCTGAGGACAGCCCCGCGCGGAGGACCCCAGGGTCTTCCCACAGGAGAAGAGACCCGCCGGGCGGGGACAGAAGTTCTCTGCGGCCTGGGAGACAGGAGGGACAAGAGGAAGAGGCTCCGTCAAAGGTAACTCAGACTCCCATTCCTGAGCTGCGGCGTCTCGGAGACCAAGGCTTTGGGTCCAGCACGTCGCGCATCCAGGAAGAGCCCAAGGTCACCGGCCTGAGCGCGGCGCCGAGGGAAGGGTCTGCGGAGCGTGTTCCGAGGCCCAAACCGATCTTTGGAGGAGGGGAGCTGGGGCCGTGGCAGGGAGACCGATGAGACCAACACGCGGTCACTCTGGAAAACCTGCCGCTGAGACGCACTTGAGGCCTGCGCGCCGCGGGAGTGTGCGGGGGCGGCCCAGGGACTCGAGCGCTCCCCTCTCGGGACCCCGCCGGACACTGGGTGTGCGACGAGCGGCGGCTCCCGTCGCAGACACTGAGCGCGCCGGGCGCCCCGGCCGCACGCAGGACACGCGGGGACGCAGCAAGGGCTCCAAGAGCGCGGGCCGCGGAGCGGGGGAGCCCGGGGCACCCCACCTGCGAGGCACCCAGCGCGCCGAGGCCCCGTCCTCAGAGGGCAGCTCCGGAAGGCGCGCTGGGACTGGACCCCGGCGACAAGGGCATCACCTGGAAGGACACATCAGTGACCCCCACGCCCCCGCGGGGACCCGGGCGGGCTGAGAAGGAGGCAGAGCCGCCGAGGCCGGTCCCCACCGCGGTCCGCGCTCGCCCACGCGCCCACGCCCGCGCCCACGAGGATTTCTGCCCGCGCTCTTCTGCCCCCGGCCCTCGGCCGCCCGCACCCAGCCCCCGCCCGGCTCCGCGCGCCCGAGCCCAGCCCCGCCCGGCCCCAGCACCCCGCAGACCCAGCACGGTCGGACCCCGCCCCGCCGGCCGCGACCCAGCACCTTCCGAACCCGGCGGCACCCGAGCCCCGCCCCCCGCCGGAGCCCCGCCCCCCGCCGGAGCCCCGCCCCCCGCCGGAGCCCCGCCCCCGGCCCCGGCGCGCGGGAGGTGAGGCGCCCGGCGCGCGGAGGCCTGCCGGCGGCCGGCGCAGCAGCACCTAGCGGAGGCCGCCCGAGGTGCGGCGGCGCGGGCGCGCGGGGGCGGGCACGCGGGCGCGGGGGCGCGCACGGCGGGCGGGGCGGGGCGGGGCGCGCGGGCGGCGCTTGCGGGCGCTCGGGCGCACACCGGCCGGCGGGGCTGACGCGGGGCGGGCCGGCTGAGGCCACTGAGGCGACTGAGGCGGCCGAGGCGGCCGGGAGCCCGGGAGCCCGAGGCGGCGGCGGAGCCCGCGGAGCCCCGGGCGCGGCGCGGGGCGGCCGAGCGCGGGGAGAGCCGGGCTCGCGGACCTGTGGGCGCGCGCGGTCGCACCCGGCCCGGCCCCGACCCCCGCGGCGGCGCGGGCCGAGGAGCGCGGCCGGGAGGATGTCGGCGGGCGGCCGCGACGAGGAGCGGCGGAAGCTGGCGGACATCATCCGGCACTGGAACGCCAACCGGCTGGACCTGTTCGAGATCAGCCAGCCCACCGAGGTGAGCGCCCCTCCCCCCGCCGGGCCCCTCGCGCTGCCCCTCCCGGCCGGCGGCGCCCCCGCGGGGACCCCCCCCTCCGACCCCGCCCCCGGGGCCGCGCTCCGCGCCTCAGGACCCGGGGGACCCCGCGCGGGCGGCGAGCCGGCGCGGCGCGGTCACCTGTGCGGCGCGGGGCCGGGGGGTCGCGGGCCGGGGCGGCATCGGGGGCGGGGTCGCGGGCCGAACGCGGGGGTCGCGGGGCGGGGGCGGGGCCGCGGGCGGGGAGCGAGGTCTCTGGCCCGGAGTCGAGCGGCGGCTGGGCGGGGGGCGGGGGCCGCGGGCCGGGCCGGGGTCTGCGCCGGGAGGCCGTGCGGTGGGCGGCGGGCGTGACCTGATGGCGCTGTGCCCCGACTGCGGCACGGGGTCCGCGGCCGCCCGGGGCTGTGGCTCCGCGGACCTTTGTCACTCGGGGAGCATGTGACCGGCGGTGTTTTGCTCCAGTGGGTTTGAAACTTGGGGGTTGGCGGCGGCGGGAGCAGAGCAAACATCAGGAAAGTTCTGATTGTGCGCGTTTGCTGATAAGGCCGCCGGGACTGAACTCCGGCGCCGAGAGAGCCGTCCTCCCATTCGTCGCCCGCCGCCCGGGTCGGAGCCGGCGCGCCCCTCCCCCCGCCGCGCCGGCCCCGGCGTCCGCGGTGACCTGGCCGGGGGCGGGGGCGGGGGCCGGCAGGGGCGGGGGCGGGCGGGGGCGGGGGCCGGGGGGGGTGCTGGGGGCGGGGAGGGGGCCCGGGGAGGGCGGGGGCCGGGGGCAGTGCCGGGCGTCTCTCCGAGGGCCAGGGGGCCGTGCGGGGGGTCCGGGGGCCGCGCAGAGGGCCGGGGACGGCGCCCGCGCCCCTCCGCAGCTCCCGGGCCTGCCGCGCGGCCTCGCCTGGGGGCGGCCAGCCCTGGGTGTGCTCGCGAGTGGAGGAGGAAATCGCACTTGCTCGGGGCCTAGGACAATGGCAGTTGTTTATAGCGAAGCTGCCCCGAGAGTTCTGAGGGTTTTTAGAAAACCGGCTGGAGTCGGGGTGCGGGGGCTGGGAGCGGCGGCGCGGGCCGAGAGGGGGGCCGGCCCGGCGGACACCCGGAGCGGGTCGTGCGTCGTCGCCGAGTTGCCGTTACGCAGACTTGGGCCGCACGCCGCGCACCTGCGCAGGGACGTGGTTCTCGTGGCACCTGGTCACGTCGGCTCTGGGGGCCCCGGTGCGGTCCGTGTTGTCTGCTCCGGTGCCGGCCTGCACGCACCCGTCTCGTCGGCCGGGTGGGAGCGTTGTCCCGGAGCTTCTTCCTTTTGTTGTCCTGCCCGGCTGCGCGCCGGAGGGACGCTGGCGCGACGCTTGCGGCTTGGGCCGCGCTGGGCTGGGAAGGCTTCCGCGGCCCGTGCTGGGCCCTCGTCCGTCCGGGGTGCGCCGCCGGTGCCGGCTCTCGGGCGCGGGCTGCCCGTTCCGGCGGCCGCGCGCCGCTCCTCGTCCGCCGCTCGGCGTCTCAGGTGACCCGGTCCGGCCCGCGGAGCGGCCACGCGCCTCGCGGGTTCTGGGCGTGTTCGCGGTCTTCGGACGGTGGTGCGCGCCGTCGTCTTTCCGAGGCCTGGACGCGGGTTTCTGTCTCCGGTGTGAAGGATTGGGTCGTAAAATACGCAGTGGTGCTGGCTGGTTTGTTTTTCTGCTTCAGTGAGTCTGTTTATAATTGCTTTTTGAGAAATTTCCCAAGTCTGGTTGAGAAAAGGAGTATTTTCTCAACTTAGTAACAGATCATTCCGTTTACTCTCTGGGATTTCAGCTGAGTTGGCATTTAAAATGTAAATCGGAAACAGATTATAGTTAATTGGTCTCAAAAAATTACATTTTTAAGCAGTCCATTGAAACTTCTCCTCTGTTTTCTTAGAGATTCTAGTAGGTCTTAAAACTGGCTTGTCCCTTGGAGAGCCGCTGTACGCAGGTGAGAAGTCGCGGGGCCTGTGTCTTGAAGCAAAGCGGATTTGAAGGACTCGTTTCGAAAAGGATTGTGAATTCCGTTTGGTAGTTCTCCTCCCCGTCTAACGCTTGATCTCTCTTGAGAAACGGTTGTCCAGAAATACGTGGGAAAGCTGTGCCTAATGGAATAAACTGTTGCGTTTTGTTTTTCTCATGTCTGACGTTGCTTATATTCGTTTTTTCATGGAAACTAGGGCACACTTAGTGCTCCGTGTTCTGGAGAACCTTGCGTCCTATTAAACTTCCTTTGGTCTTGCAGGTCGAGCTTCACACTGAGCAGGTTGTATTTTTCATGATGGTGTGAGTAGCTTTCGCGTCAGGAATTCTCTAAACCAGAGTTTCAGGGTTCATGGTTTCACTTTGCTCCGCCTCAGCGTGCGTCGGAAGTGTGTACTGCCTGATGACGAATGTTTACTTTACCGGGGCATCGCAGATCGCTTCCCTTAGCTTTCTACGAGAATGTAAGCGTGATACAGGCCGTTATTATTGTCTATAGATGTCAAACAACACTACTACAGAGTCTGATTTGTAGGAGTATAATTTAAGCCCTATTTTTAAATATTTGGATAACCTTTTTATGTATCTATATGAGAGTATAGTTGTGGCTTAATTCTTTTTTGTTTGCTTTTGGGGGGAGGATACAGTCGTCGTAATCTATCATCAAGTTTTTTAACTATGTCAAATCACTTGTGTTTCGTGGTTTCAGGCAGTCTTGATAACCACTGATAATTCTGTGGTTTCTGTGTTCAGTGAGATGATAAACTTTGGCTTTTTGGATTATATTTACTTCTTAAGAAAATTAGAATATGTTCTAATCAACCTGGTTATGTTTAATTTTTTCCTCCATAATCACATTTATATGTTAAAAGGAGGGTTTCCAAAGAAAAAGCAAGTTATATTTTGTAACTGAGTATTTTTCAGCCTTTTCCTCACTTGGGTCCTAGATTCTTTAGGAATTGTAAAGTGAGATTTGATTTAAATTTACTGTTGATATTTTATCACTAGGACATTGTTGTTAAGTTGAATTAAGATCTTGATTACTGTGGAAAACTATAGCTCCTAATAAAAGCTGCTTAAAGCTTTTTAGTCCTGTTGTTTTCTTAATGCTAAGTCTTTATTTCTTTTAAGGACTTCTGATTATTTCTTATGGCCTAGTGCTTGTTGCTAATCTTGACTTCCCATGACTTCGTCAGAAGAAGGCTTCTCTGGTTACCCAAAGGTCTCCCTCTTGGTTTTTGGAGTTCTGTTGTTTAACTTATCCCAGTCTTGTTATTATAGCCATTGGTTTCTGTTTCCCTCGCTGATTACATGGAAGTGAGAGCTTAGAATTTTATTTTTTTAAGCATTGTTAGGTCTTTCATTGTGGTAGGTGCTCAATAAATATTTTGCTGAAAAAGTGTTAGATATGATTTTCTTTCTGTATAACTTTGTTCTTCTTCTTCTTTCTTAAGATTTTATTTAGCACGCGCTTGCACAAGCAGGGGGAGAGGCAGAGGGGAAGAGGCAGACTCCCCGCTGAGCAGGCAGCCTGATGGGGGACTCTGTCCCAGGACCCCTGAGGATCAGGACCCCGGCCTAAGCTAGAAGCTTAACCGACTACTGAGCTACCCAGCCACCCCCGTATACCTTTATTCTTGACAAAATGTGGCATATATACATATTAAAAATGTGGTGAGATGATCTGTTAGGCTATTAGAGATTTTTATTTTCATGTGTTACTCTTTTGCATAAAGGTTACACCTAAATGCAGAAACTGTTCAAGTAGTTGACCCATTTGCTTTATGAGATAGTCCTTAAAGTCAGTTTTTTAGAAGTAATTTGAGTTCATTACCTTCTTTTGGTATTGACGGGAAAATAGAACCTAGAATTTGTACGTACATTCACATTTGCTTTATTAAAGGTGAATATGTTATGTTTTTAATATTCTGAGTAGTCTTCAGAAGTGATGTGATTCATGTTACCCAGAGGTGTGTGTAAGAAACAACTTCTGGTTTGTCAGCAGAGGCGGAGTAGGAAGTCTTGGTGTGAAGCAGTAAGAATTGCATAATTTATAGCTGAGTCTGTGCTCCAGACTAGTGCTTAGGTTGTGACTGTGCTTTATCATAAGACTTAACTACATTTGAAACTGTTTGGAAAACAACAGTCGTGTTACTGCCACAGGTACTTCAGAAGATCTCTTTTTCTGGTGACTAACGTGTAACGATACAGGCAGTTGCCAGTGATGTGTTTTTAGTATTCATAGGCATCTGTCTTTTTTTTTTTTTTTTTTTAATGTGAAACTCAATGGTGGTTGTGACTTTTTTCCTTTTAATCTTTATTTCCTGTAAGAACTGGTTAAGATTTGTTTGTATGGTTGTGAGCCTGTCAGTCTGAGGTGAACCCTTGTCCAGCACTGTTGAACATCTTAGGTTGAAATTGCATCTAGACTAGCTTCAGTTTGCTCTCCTTCTGCCAGTGAAAACTAATTTTAATTTTTGCAACTTACAGACTTAATGGGATGTAACTGTCGTAACTAGGCTTTTCTAGAATCGTAAAATTTGGGTTGTGGTTCATAGCATGGTAGTAGAAGTGTCTCTTTCATATTCTTGAAAAAATGAGTCCCAGAAGATCAGATTGGTATATGCCAAATTGGTGGGAAGCTTCTGAAAGAAGGTTTAGGTTTATGCCATTAAGGATTTAATTGAGCAGTTGTAGTGCGTAAGGCATTGCTTGTTTGTTTGTTTTAATTTTTCTTTTTTTTTAAAGATATTTTTTATTTATTTGACAGAGAGAGTGCGTAAGGCATTGTTACTGGAGTTGCTCATTCTGGTGGCATAGGTTAATTTGTTTATAAGCAGTTTTACCAGACTTGAACTTAGGTATAATGTCAGAAAATGCTAATAAATAACAATAGCAATTATTTTGATGGCAATCTGCTTTCCTTTATTATAAACGAAATGTGTGTGAGTACTGCTAGTAGAACATAAAATTAAACAGATCTCTTAATTGAAAATTATTTCCAGGCTGGTT